AAAAAAAAAAAAAAAAAAAGAAAAGGAAAGAAAAGAAATAAAGAAAGAAATGGGCTAAGGAAGAAGGTGAGGCGTTATACAAAGAAAAGGGTGCCTATTTTAATACAGTGTTCTCTGAAAGGGCAAATATTACTGTGCATTAACTATAACTAATTTATACTTGACTCTTTCACTTCCTTCTCATTTGCTTTCGTGGATTTAATTCTGATAATTTTGGAACAGCAACAGCTAACACGTACTGAAAAAACTAATAAATCAATGTGATTATCACCTCCATTTTACAAATGAGAAAAGCTTAAGCAACCTCTACATAACTAGTAATTTGCAAAGCCAAACTTATTTTAACCTCTCTCCCAAGGTGAGGGCCCACATTTACAAATCCCTGGAAGAAGGTGTCATCTGGATGTCCCACCATTGCTTCAAATTTGATGTTTTACACTTTTAACTTTACAAAGGAATGTACAACAACAGAAAAAATCTATGTATAGCTCTTAAATTTCCAAACAAACTTACATACAGGTAGAGATTAGTAAATAGTCAAAGTACTTACCACTTGGAAAAAACTAAAAAGAACTTATGAACTAAAGTAGATGCTGCTGCATTTGGATATAATTGGCAAGTTCTTGCAACTAGCATTGCCCAGGAGACGCCACCAAGGAATCCTAGCATGTTGGAATAAATACCACGTCCTAGAAAATCAATATATTTGCTAATTATTATTAGGGCCAACTATCTGTGACATTCTTTTTATTTTTTATTTTTTCTGCTCTTTACAAGGTGAATGAATATCCATAACATTCAACAAGGTAACTTTATTCTTAAGATAGGTGGTTGGAACTTTTCCCCAATAAACAAAACATTAAAACTGATAAGCTGACCTTCACATTAGGCCCACAGTCCAATCAGTAACCATAAATTGCTAATCTTACCCTCCTTACTTTGCCTTCTAAAATAGACACCTCAGTTCTCGCCTCAGTTCCAACTGCTCAACTGGGCTCCACTGATATTACATTGAAATGCTCCGTTTTTAGTATTTAGGATTGAGAGAAAAGTGAAAGGAAGGAGACATTTGGAGACAATGGGGAAGAATGAATATTTTATTAGTAATCATATTTATGGGTATTTTAAAATCAAGTGTAAAGCTGAAGACTTACTTTAGTATTTCACAGAATTTGAATGCCTCCCCATAAAGTAGAATACACCACACCACTGACATTACTCATTTTCTTTTTTTAAAGAGATGGGCTCTCACTCTATCACCCAGACTGGAGTGTACTGGCACAATCACAATTCACTGCACCCTCAAACTCCTGAGCGCAACTGATCTTCCACCTCAGCCTCTTGAATAGCTATGATAACAGGGGTGCACCGCCATGCTTGTCATGACCGTTTCTTATAGCTATCTATATTATGTCCCACCAAGTGAGCAAAAGAAAAAAAACTACCAAATACCAATTTCAGACACTGTAAATACAAAAAATATGCATCTAGTTGACAAAACATGGCATTTAATCTCTAAGGAAGGGCAAATTGTTCATGTTATCCCTTCACTGCAAATTTTACTTTATTCTAACTATACAAGACACTTGAGCCCAAGGACAAAGTTTACTTGTTTAATATCTTTTTAGACCTGCACTGTCCAATATGGTAGCCACAAGCCATGTGCTGCTATTTTTTAATTTGTATCAGCTTTACTGAGATGTAACTCACATACCATAAGATTCATTCATTTAAAGTACACAATTCAATGGTTTTTAGTATACTGAGAGTTGTGCAATCAACAACATTATCAATTCTAGAATGTTTTTCATGACCCCAGAAAGAAACCTTTTAACTGTCACACTCAGCCAGGCACTGTGGCTCACACCTGTAATGCCACCACTTTGGGAAGCCAAGGCAGAAGGATTGCTTGAGCTCAAAGGAGTTTGAGCCTGAATAACATAGCAACACCTAGTCTCTGCTAAAAAAAAAAAATTAGCTGGGCATGGTGGCACATGCCTGTAGTCCCAGCCACTCAGGAGGCTAAGATGGAAGGACTGCTTGAGCCCAGAAGGTCAAGGCTGCAGTGAGCTATGATTGCATCACTGCATTTCAGCCTAGGAGACAGAGCAAGCCCCTGTCTAAAAAAATAAAATGAAATAAAATAAATATAAAGGCATACATCATTTTATTGTGCTTTGCTTTACTACACTTCATAGATACTGAGTTTTTTTACAAGTTGAAAGTTTGTGGCAACCCTGAGTTGAGCAAATCTATCAGTACCATTTTTCCAACAGCATAAGCTCTCGTTTCATGACTCTGTGTCAGATTTTAGTAATTCTCAAAAGATTTCAAAGTTTATTCTTATTATTATATGTGTTATGGTGATTTGTGATTAGTGATCATTGATGTTACTATTGTAATTGTTTTGGGGCACCATAAACTGAGCCCATGTAAGAGGGTGAACTTAGTTGGTAAATGTGTATGTTCTGAATGCTCCACAGACTGGTCATTACCCATCTCTCTCCCTCTCCTCAGGTCTTCCTATTCCTTGAGACACAACAATATTTAAATTAAGCCAATTAAGAACCCTTAATGGCCTCTTAAGTGTTCAAGTAAAAGAAATAGTGACATATCTCTCACTTCAAATCAAAAGCTAGAAAAGATTAAGCTCAGTGAATAAGGCATGTTGAAAGCTATGATAGTCTGAAAGCTATGTCTCTTGTGCCAATCAGTTAACCAAGTTGAGAATGCCAAGAAAAAGTTCTTGACAGAAATTACAAGTGCTACTTTCCAGTGAATACAGGAATGACAAAAGTAAAACTGCCTTATTGCTGATAGAAAATTTTAATTTTTGCCTGGATGAAAAAATCAAATGAGACACAATGTTTCCTTAAGCCAAAGTCTAACCCAGAGCAAAGCCCTAACTTCTTTCTAATCATATGAAGGCTGAGAGAGGTGAAGAAGGTGCAGAAGCAAAGTGTGAAGCTAGTAAAGGCTGCTGCATAGGTTTAAGGAAAGAAACCATCTCCACAACATAAAAGTGCAACAAGTGCTCATGCATAAGCTGCAGAAAGTTATCCAGAAGATCTAGCTAAAATCACTGATGAAGGTGGCTACTCTAAACAACAGATTATCAATGTAGATGAAACAGCCTTATACTGGAAGAAGATGCCAGCTAGAGCTTTCATAGCTAGAGAGGAGAAGCTTGGTAATAAAGCTTCAAAGGACAGGTAATTCTCCTGTTAGAGGCTAATGCAGCTGGTGACTTTAAATTGAGGCCAGCTGGGTGCAGTGGCTATTGCTTGTAATCCCAGCACTTTGGGAGGCCGAGGCAGGCAAATTATCTGAGGTCAGGAGTTCAAGACCAGTCTGGCCAACATGATGAAACCTCGTCTCTACTAAAAATACAAAAAGTAGCCAGGTGTGGTGGCACATGCCTTTAATCCCAGCTACTCCGGACGCTGAGGCAAGAGAATCCCTTAAACCTAGGAGAAGGAGGTTGCAGTGAGCCAAGATCCTGCCACTGCACTCCAGCTGGGCAACAGAGTGAGACTTTATCTCAAAAAAAAAAAAATTGAAGCCTTGAAGCCAATGTTCATTATTTAACATTCCCCAAATCCCAGGGCTCTTAAGAATGATGCTCACTCTACTGTCTGTGCTGTAAAAATGGAAGAACAAAGCCTAGATGACAGCACAGGTGTTTACAGCATGGTTTACTGAGTATTTTAAAACCCATTGGTGAGATCCACTGCTTGGGCAAAAAAAGATTCCTTTCTAAGTATGACCGCTCTTTGACAATGCACCTAGTCACCCAAGAATTCTAGTGGAGATATACTAGGAGATTAAAGTTATTTTAATACCTGCTAATGCAGCATCCATTCTGTAGCCCATGGATCAAGGAGTTATCTTCTTGTTTTACCATTTAAGAAATACATTTTGGCCAGGCATGGTAGCTCACAGCACTTTGGAAGGCCAAGGCAGGAGGATCACTAGAGGCCAGGAGTTCAAGACCAGCTTGGGCAATATAGCTAGACCTCAACTCTATTAAAATTTTTTAAAAAACTTCACCAGGCATGGTGGCACAGGCCTGCAGTCCTAAGCTACTCAGGATTCTGAGGAGGGAGGATCCCTTGAGCCCAGGAGTTTGACAACAGCCTGGGCAACACATTGAGACCGTCTCCTGGTGCGGGGTGGAAATCAACATTAACAAGTTTGGAAGAAGTTGATTCCAACTCTCATGGATGATTGAGAGAGGTTCAGGACTTCAACAGAAGAAGTTAACTGCCAATGTAGTAAAAATAACAAGAGAACTAGAATCAGAAGTGGATCCTTAACATGTGATTGAATTGCTGCAATCTCATGATGTAACTTTAAGGGATGAGGAGTTGCTTCTTATGGATGAGCAAAGGAAGTGGTTTCTTGAGACAGAATCTACTTCTGGTGAAGATACTATGAACATTGTTGAAATGACAACAAAGGATTTAGAATATTACATAAACTTAGTTGATAAAGCAGTGGCAGCATTTTAGAGGAATGACTCCAATTTTGAAAGACTTTCTACTTGTGGGTAAACTGCTATTCAACAGCATGGCATGCTACAGAGAAATCTTTCATGAAATAATCAATGCAGCAAAATTCACTGGTGTCTTAA